TAGAAAAGCCTAAAGAGGATAATATCTACTAGCGGTAGGCTTAGGCGGTTAAAAATGATATCAAAGTCAGACACCGAGCGATGTGCCAGTGAGGAGGTTGTTCCCCGAAGGGGGTAGACACGAGGCGGTGTGCCAGCAGCAAGGATGTTGGGCCTCGAAGAGGGTAGATTATGAGATCTCACATCAATTAGGGAGGAGAACGAAGCATTCTTTAGAAGAGCGTGGAAATCTCTCTCTAGTATACGTGTTTGAAAAATTTAGGAAGTTACAATCCTATTCCTTAAAATTTCAATAATGGGTATCTAAACTACAGAAATTGCAACGTTTGATTATAAAAGGAAAGGTTTTGATGGGTTCGGTTGTTTTCCTTGCACAGATCCCCGCAGATGCAGTGCAATCACTACCACTAGTAAAGGAGAAGGGAAATAATTAAAGCCAACGGCCATTTACATTATTATTTGCACTTAGCAGACGCCTGAAACAATCATTCATCAGTCAACCATCGTACTGCATAGCCTATCAAAATCAATAATTCATCTTCATGATGATGCTACTATTACAGAAATTTTGTACTTAAGATCCCGCCTCCCCCTACCCGGATGAATAACACTCATGAGGCCGTGACCTGGAAACAGTTCTGAGCTATTATTTGGTAAATGGCCGAACAAATGAACAAAAGAATATAAAATCAGGTATAAAAGATAGCATGACTAACTGGCTACGCATAAGTAATGACGTCTGACTAATTCAATGTTGATCTGATTACCCCGTCGCCTTGACGTCCTCAGCCAAACAAATCAAATTTGGTCCTGCATTTATAGGGGAAGTCGAGCTCAGAGATGGTATCTTTGCTACTCATGTAGTTATTAAGGCAAATAAATAACTGAGTAAATAACTTGGTACCTAAACTTCATGCAATCGAGCATGGTATCTCTGGCTACTATCCCACAGCACAGCATCATCCAGGAATCAACATTGAAACACAGTCCAGGTCGACATGAAGCATGTTATATAGCTCGGGAATTTTCTGTCAACGATGATCCTACTTGAAGCATACGAGGGTATACTGAGCTAAATTCCTTGTCTCTCTGGTCTTTACCTTGGCGGCATAATCATGAGAGTTGCTTTGATACCTTTCCAAACTTGATCCTCACCCTGAGAATCCAACCACAATGAGTACTACTGAGGAGTCCATCGATTCTTTTTTTTAAATTGCATTGACCTGCGGACCTTTCTCCAGTACGAGAGGATTGGGAAGGACACATCTCTGATGTACTAGTTATCGTGCCACAGTAAAAGCTTCCTTTGCATTGGTGATTGCAATTCCTCAGGACCCCGAGAAAAAAGATGATGAAGTATGCACTTGCTGGCAGAACGTGAAGTAGTGGAGATGCTTCCAGTTGAGATGTTTCAAGAAATATAAGAGGACGAAATGCACGAAGAGCTTGATATGGTGCACCAAGTTGTTCTACGGGGAACAAATTTTGACCCACAGTTAACTGCAGCCCAGCCATGTTCCTAGCCATTAGTAGTTTTCCTGATTCAGAAAGAGGTCTAACAAGAGAAGCATGCCTGATAAAAGAAAACTGAATCACGACTCTCTACAATAGTATGATATTGTCCACTTTAAGAATAAGCTCTTATAGCTTTGCTTTGGGCTTCTCCAAAAGGGCTCGTACCAATGGAAATAACATTCCTCATCGTTCTTCTTATTTCCAAATCCCTAGAACTCTTTGGATATATAACACGGTATAACATCCAATCCCCATAACACAAAAACTCTCCCTCTCATGAAAATCAATAAACCCACCTAGTTTAAGGTTTTCACATCCTAGGATTTGTTCCTCTCTCCATCCGATGTGGAATTTCACAATCCACCTCTTTACACTGTTGCGGTAGCGATGGGCTTGGGCGGTTGCAAATGGTATCAAAGTCAGTCACCCGAAGGTGTAGGGCTAGACGCTTTCCATAGTAGACGCGTTTTAAAACTTTGAGAAAAAGTCTAAAAAGTATCATATTTCAATTCTAGGTGAATAATTGACCAAGTGACAGTTGAAGAGCTTTAACTATATAATGTCCAAAAATCTGAGATGGGATAGATTGGTGAAGCAAAGCAGTGTCGCTAGTAAGAAAATCTGTCAAGTCCTGCATATACAATATGCTCCATTACATGTTACCCGAGGTCACATGGCTATTGATGGACAATATTTATTATTGCTCCTATATTAGACAAATTGCTCAGTGGTGAAATCTTGAATTGAAGAACGGTATTGAAAAAATAACTTCGGATTATATACCATAGCATATGATAGTAGTGATTAGAGTATGGCAGTTTCCCCAAGAAAACAAACTACCTGGCATTCAGCTCTCTCAGCCAGCAGGAGAAGAGCCTTGCCAACTTGACGCAGCACAAGTAGAGTTAACAAGATCAGATTCATTCAATCTCTTTCTGTGATATCTGTTCTATCTAGGGAACACTACCACGACTTGTAACGGGAAATACAGAGCTAACAAGATCAAACAGGCGACTCAAGCAGAAACCATACCTTTATACTTGCTCATCAATTGCTGGATGGTCGCCTTCAATTCACCTAGATTGTAAAACACCTGCAATCCATTCCTCTCTCCAAAACCTTCGTGGCCTCACTTCTCAATTTATCCCCCATTTCAACTCCTCATCAACGGCATCAATGCCCGCCAGGTCAAACTCATAGCAAAGGCTCAATTTCTCAAAGCGCAGCTGGACGGCCTTAGCTAGCGAGATCCACCTTCTCAGGCTCTTCGACAGACGCAGAAGCAAGGTCCCTAAGCTTCTTCGAAAAACAAAGGGCACGAATCGTATGGTGAAGATTGGAGAACTGAACGGTCTTGGTAAAAACGACATTTCTAGGTTCAGAAAGCTCGAATCAGACATGGCGGAATGAGGATTGAAGGGAGGAGACACTGAATCGAAGGGTGGAGAGAGCATTCTCAGCGTAGATAGAGTTAGGAAAGTAAGATAAATTGTGGCGGGAGAGCAAGGAGGAGTCAAATGTTTGACGGCTTCGGAATAACAATATCATATTATCATGGAGATTCATGATTCCTAATAGAATTGATTTCGAAGATTTGACCCTTCGACTTAACCTCAACCTTACCTGAGATCTAGTATGTAAGATGATGCATCTATCCTTTAAGTTACGCAATATCTATCCTTTGTTTGGTTAAAATTAGGTATCGTCCTCGAACACAATTAATGATATCATATTACATTAAACGAGATAAATGAGTTTAATTTTGTATCTGCAAAATCCCAAAGAATTTGAACAAATTATGAAAATACATACATGAACAAATGAACAAACAAACAATTGTGAAACGAAAAGAAGGAAGAAATGAACCAAAAGAATCAGACATGACCGCCACAGCATAGATAGAAAAAACAGAGTGTGGAGACCAAAACAAGGGCTTCCACGACAGAGACGATCTTGAAGAACACATTATCAACCACGAAATGAATCATCTGAAGATCCATTGGGCTCCTCCCGAAGAGCGAAAACCGCCATGGCCACAGCTCCTTCCTCACCTTCTTCAACGACCATGTCTTCTTCTTCCCCATAACTCACTCTCTGTTTCTCTCACAATGCCATAAACATATATATATATATATGAAGATAGATGGTGGGGAAATCTATGCAAAACCCCCTAAATACATATTTATTTTTGTCATTAATTTTGTATCCGTTGCCCTTTTTCATCAAAATAATGATAATAATAACGTTACCCATGGGTCCCCTAGGAAAAAAACAACCATGTCATCTTACTTTAATTTGGTTAGTAAAATATATATATAAATTATGTGGATTGTTATATTGTATTTTATTATTTATTTATTAGGGGATAAAATGGCACGCGTAAAAAGGAGGATCGAGTAGCCAACTACTGCCTGGTTGTTCCGTTGTACGTGAAAGCAAGGGTGTAATTAAAAAGACAAATTATGGATAAATAATACAAAATAAATTGGACGTTTCAACGGCCGCTAATCAAATTAATTGCAAAATTTTCAATAATATATTTATGTGTGTGTATATTTTTTAAATTAAAAAATACATTTGTTACCATTTCCACTCTTACCACTTTTAGAAAATAAAAAAAAATCAAAAATTTGGAGATTATATAAATTGTTTCATTGATTATGAGATTCAAGAGGGGATCGAATTAAAATTATATCTGTGCGGAAACTTCTCCCTAACATAAACACAAGGTTATAGGGCTTGTGGGAACCTCTCCTACCATAAGGGTTTTAAAATTTTGAGGGAAACTCAAAGAAAAAGTCCAAAGAGACAATATCTGCAAACGATTTTCACCGTTACAAATGGTATTAGAGTCAGCCACCATGCAATATCATAGCGAGGACGCTTGGCCCCGAAAGAGATGGACATTGAATGGTGTGCTAGCGAGAATGTTTGACCTCGAAAAGAGGTAAATTTTGAGATCTCATATCAATTAGAGCAGGAAAAGAGTGTTAGCAAGGATACTCGACCTCAAAAGGGTAGTTTGCGAGATCTCTCATCAATTAGAGAAGACATTGAGCCCCAAACGGGGTGGATTATGAGATTCTACATTGATGGGAAAGGAGAAGAAAACATTTTTTATAAGAGCATAGAAAGTTGTAAGATTGGAGAGGAGAAAGAAATACTGATATTAAAAATATTTAGAGAAGACCCAAAGCGAAAAGTGAAAGCTCAAATCAAATTCCATTTAATTTTTCTAATGTTCTTATCCTTGTCGACAGTCCCATGAAATCAGAGATAGAGAGAGTACGTGGGTTTCTCCCATTGGGTGAGATGGAGAACAAAGTTGGGTTAGGAAGCAACAATGGGATTTGTGGATCAGAGGCCGCCAACTGCGAGGTTATGTCCCACTGTCCATCGCACAAAAATCTTCCACTTTCATCTTCGCCAATCACAAAACAGATACAGATCTCATCCAGATAAGGACCTCTTCTATAAGAACAAATCAAACCATCAATTAACCCAAACCCCAAGAACGAACTCCCCAATTCACGAAAATGGCAGCTTCATCCATGGCCCTCTCCTCCCCATCTCTCGCCGGCCAAGCCGTCAAATTATCCCCCTCCGCCTCCAACATCCTCGGCGAATCCCGCGTCACCATGAGGAAAACCGGTGGCAGACCCAAGCCCGTCTCCTCTGGAAGCCCATGGTACGGTCCAGACCGAGTCAAGTACTTGGGCCCATTCTCCGGTGAGCCTCCGTCCTATCTGACCGGGGAATTTCCCGGCGACTACGGCTGGGACACTGCTGGGCTCTCCGCCGACCCCGAGACCTTCGCCAAAAACAGGGAGCTGGAAGTAATCCACTCAAGATGGGCCATGCTTGGGGCTCTGGGATGCGTCTTCCCCGAGCTCCTGTCTCGCAACGGAGTCAAATTTGGCGAGGCTGTGTGGTTCAAAGCTGGGTCTCAGATCTTCAGCGAAGGTGGGCTCGACTATTTGGGGAACCCGAGCCTGGTCCACGCTCAGAGTATTTTGGCTATTTGGGCGTGTCAGGTTGTGCTCATGGGTGCGGTCGAGGGCTACAGAATTGCTGGTGGGCCTCTGGGTGAGATCACCGACCCAATATACCCAGGTGGGAGCTTTGACCCACTGGGGCTGGCCGATGACCCTGAGGCCTTTGCAGAGCTTAAAGTGAAGGAGCTCAAAAATGGGCGATTGGCCATGTTTTCCATGTTCGGTTTCTTCGTGCAGGCCATTGTCACCGGCAAAGGGCCTTTGGAGAACTTGGCCGACCATTTGGCTGACCCTGTTAACAACAATGCCTGGTCTTACGCCACTAACTTTGTACCTGGAAAGTGAGGACTCTGTCATATGTTCATTATATTTAGGTGTTTCATGTCCCTTGATGGAATTCTCAAGCCTTTTGTGGTCGAGATTAAATAGTAGTTAAACTATAAATTATCAATTTAAATATTGTCTACTTTAGCCAATTACATATCTTCACACTCTCCCTCTCCAACCAATAGAGGTCTAACGTTCTTGGCTCTGATACCATTTGTAATAACTCTAGATATTATCCGCTTTTGCTCGTTACATATCACTATCAATCTCACGATTTATAGAGAGATTTCCACACTCTTATAAATAATGTTCCCGATTCTCATAAATCAAATTCAAAACTCCTAAACCAAATCATAACTATAAATCAAAAACTGAATTGATAAAATTTTAATAATTTTTAAATCTCGCAACGTTTAAAAATATTTTTGTTTTTAAATTAGAGGGGACCGGAAGGGCATTATCGAATTAAAAGTGGGGTCGATGTTACACTTTGACAACTAACCCACTACCTATATTATATATAATAAATTAATAGGTCAACTTTTCATTCAATAAATAATTTAGTCTATATATTTTTGTTTATAACTATTTAAAAATGTTAATCCATCACTTAGCTCAAACTATCTCTTATCTTATCTTATTAAATTTGTTAGAAACATGAAAATAAATATTTTATACTTTGACCAATTATATATCATTGTCAACTTCACAATTTTAAACGCGTCTATTATGAAGATGGTCTAGTCCTACTTCGACCAGTGTTTTGTACCATTTATAAAAGTTTAAACTTACCGCTAATAGATATTGTTTGTATTTTATTTTTTTAACACAATTTATAATTATATTTTAAGAAATTTAGTGAAGGAAAGAAATGATGAAAAGAAAGGGAAAAAGGTTGAGAGGTGGGAGAGTGCAGTGATAGTGTTGGCAGAGTCGGCATGTCGATTATTCATCATGCAGCAGTCTGATTGAAACGACACGTCGTCATTACATAGCTATTATGATATGAATAGACATTGACAAAAAAAATAAGAAATTTGTTCGTCAAAAGGGTTTGAGTCCATTCCAATTCTCACGCCGGCTTCCCTTTAATTGCAGCTATAATTGATGATGGACTGTTCATTATTTATTTTTTTAATTTATAGTTTGAAAATCCACAAACAATAAATGCAAAAAGAAAAGAAAAAAATAAAATCAAATCAATTCCCATTCCAAAATTGCTTGAGTTGACCCAAAATTTCCCTTCATTTTCCTTACAAATTCATTCCCACTGTTCTTTTGAATTCAACCCATATCTTCAAATCGAAAGAAACCCAAAATTTTGTAAACAAAAAGCATCAAATTCTGCGTGTGAATGAACAGTTCATCCCCTAAGATGGAATAAATTATAAAAGGAAGAAATTTTAATTTTGATTGTTTGTTTGTTTGTTTTGTTGGTGATGAGCGTATTAATTCGCTTCTTCCAGACTCCGTTTCTTTTACTTTCACTGTTTTTTTTTTGGTGATGCCTTTTCCTTTTCCTCCAAATCATTACAAGCCAGTTGTCCAATTAGACCATCAACGATGAAGATCATCCCACTGCCCTCATCTCAACGGTGTTCGATGGATTCCCATTTAGCTTTTCAGCGAAGATCCGACTCGAACCGGTTTAAGGGCTTTGCATTTGGCGTTTGGGGAGTTGGGATTGAATTGAAATCGCATTTCAATATCTGGGTTTGATTAGTTTTTGACTCTCACTTTACTTTCTTCTCTTGTTCTTCGTGTTCTTGTTGTTGTTGTTGTTCTTCTTCTTCTTCTTCTTTTGCGTTTCCTTTACTGTTTTTTGTCTCTATGGTTTCCTCTATTGCAAACCAAGCTTCCTTTCCAGCTTGCAGAGAGGACCCTTTGTACTTGACGCTTTGCCTTACAATACCCACCAACCATTTTCATCCACCTCTTCTTTTCTGACCCTTTAAAATCCTCTCCAGTTATCTTATTCAATCCTCTCCAAACATTTTTGTCTTTGTCTCCTCTTCTCCTCCTCCTCTTCCATCTTCTATTGCCCCACTATCCCTACTTCTTCATTACTCCTTTTCTGCTCTCTCTTTTTGGGGCTCTGGATTTGTTGTTGGGTTCAGTTCTTTCAGACAACATTTTGGCATATCCCCCCATGCTTTCCCCCTCTCCATTGCCTCAACACGATTCCCTTTGCTTCCCTTTCTGGGTTATGGAGGAACACCCAAATCTGGGTCCATAAGGTAAATCCCTCCTCTCTTGTTTCGTTGTTTGAGAAATTAGGTTTTCCCAAATGGGATTTTGTTTCATTTTCTGCTTAGTTCTATTTGGTATGCAACTGATGACATATAGCTATGTTCAAGGAAAAGAACTCAACATTGATTTTGGCTTAGTTTCAATGTTCGAGGAAATGATGTTCTTAGTTTCTTTTGAAATGTATAAAGAAAGTACTGATGTATGCTCGTTTCTCTATTGCTAGGTTCTTAATTCTTAACTCATACATGAATTTCCAGATGGGAATGTGTTGAAACTTGTTAGGAGGAGGTTGAACTTGAAGTTCCCTTTGGAGTTTTAGCTTACAATCGATCGGTAATGGCGTCCGGGAATTCGTTGAATGATCATTTATCTAAGAAGACTTCATTTTGGGGCTTGTCATTGTGGGTTTTGATATGCATTTGCATTGGTGCATTTATAGTTTTGATTCTTGGTTTGTTATCCATCTGGATCCTGTTTCGAAAAAAATCTAAAAGATCCATGGACAAGCTCCCCATTTCCCAGATACCTAATTTTTCAAAAGATATCAGGATAGATCAGGTTGGGACTCAAATTCCCAATGATCACCCTGAAAATAGGCTTCTTTCTGTTGATGTCAAAAGAAATCTTGAACATTCTGAAGTTATGGCTGTCACGAAATCGAGTGAACCTGATAACAATAGCCAATGTAGTTCCACTTATCAACACGAAAAACTTGGCAATTCACAATCTGGGGAAGAAGGAAGCTCTGGAAATGCTCGGAAGCAGGCTTCGAGGTCGCATGGTGGATATGGAGGAATTGTGCCACCGTCTCCACTCGTTGGCTTGCCAGAAATTTCACATCTTGGGTGGGGTCACTGGTTCACTCTCAGGGATCTAGAGCTTGCTACGAATCGTTTTTCGACTGAGAATATTCTTGGGGAAGGAGGATATGGAGTTGTGTATAAGGGCAGACTCATCAATGGCACTGAGGTTGCAGTGAAAAAACTTCTCAATAATCTGTAAGGATTTACTGGTCACCGAACCATGTTGTTTTCTAAGGTAGTGTTTTCGGAAAACGTCTTTATGATATGAAATGCATTTAGGGGTCAGGCAGAGAAAGAATTTAGAGTTGAAGTGGAGGCTATTGGCCATGTTCGTCATAAGAATCTCGTCCGACTGCTCGGTTATTGCATAGAAGGAGTTCATAGGTACCAAAGAATTCATCATCAACTTTATGAACCCTTTTTCGGTCTCACAAAGTTGCTTTCACGAGTCGTATTTTAACGTTCCATTTTGTCTATGTTTTCTGAAATTTGATTGTTTCTCTAAAGGCTGCTAGAACTTGTCTTTACCTGTTATATTCATGTAGGATGCTAGTATATGAGTATGTGAACAATGGAAATCTAGAACAGTGGCTACACGGAGCCATGAGCCAACACGGCACGTTTACTTGGGAGGCTCGCATGAGGGTTCTTCTTGGCACGGCTAAGGCGTAAGTCTTCAAACGAGAGCGAAGTTTTGTGTTGATTTCTTCTAAATTGCTGTGTGCTTGGTGCATTAGGAACTAACAGAGATGCAAATATATCGACTTTATGCAGGCTTGCCTATTTACACGAAGCAATCGAGCCAAAAGTTGTTCATAGAGATATCAAATCGAGCAACATTTTGATTGATGATGAGTTCAATGCCAAAGTTTCTGATTTTGGATTGGCCAAACTCTTGGGCTCTGGAGAGAGTCACATCACAACTAGAGTTATGGGAACATTTGGGTATGACAGATAGTTTGTTTCATTCGATTGTACCATATGAAATGACGATTCCTAATCGAGTTCGTATTTTTTAAATCTTAGGTATGTGGCACCAGAATATGCAAATACGGGCTTGTTGAACGAAAAGAGTGACATTTATAGCTTTGGCGTTCTCCTACTAGAAGCAATTACCGGGAGGGACCCTGTGGACTATGCTCGGCCTTCTAATGAGGTATCTGTTATTATTTGACCTGTTTTGTGAGATCTTACATTGGTTGGAGAGGAGAACGAAACATTTTTTATAAGGGTGTTGAAACCTTTCCCTAGTAGATGCGTTTTAAAAACATTGAGAACAACCTCGAAAGGGAAAGCTCAAAGAGAACAATATCTGCTAGCGGTAAGCTGTTATATGTTTTTACTATAACCTAACTTAATGGTTGTACATGTCCTTGTCAATGCTTAATCGTTGGGTTTGTTTGAGACTTGTCTCGCACCCTTAGGTATTCTCTACCTATCCACCTACATCATTTTTACGAGCCCCACATCCTTGCTTTTCAATCGATCTCTAGTTTTAATCGAAGTACCTTTTCTGTTTCTGGCTATATTTTTTGCTATTCCACTCATTTCATAAAGTATTTTACCTAGTTTAACAATAGCTACCACCATTTGATCGTAAAATATCAATTGCTTGTTGAAGAACATTGTGAATGGCGTCTTTGTTAGGTTAATCTTGTCGAGTGGCTAAAGATGATGGTAGCAACAAGGAGAGCAGAGGAAGTTGTGGACACGAACCTTGAGACCAAGCCAACAACTCGTGCTTTAAAACGTGCCCTTCTTGTCGCACTTCGGTGTATCGATCCAGAATCAAACAAGAGACCCAAGATGAGTCAAGTTGTACGAATGCTCGAAGCCGACGAATTTCCACTGCACGAGGTATCATCAAACTCAATATCAGAGTGTCATTTGTGTAGACTTCAAGAATTTCAGTGATATTAGGATTTTTGTTGGAAAAGTTCATGTGTTACATATAACTGTGCAGGATAGAAGGAACCGAAAAAGCCGATCAATAAGCTTGGAGAT